ATCCCTAGGTGATGCCCTGTGCCCCTTCTAGTCTGCATTACCATAGAAGCTCCTTGAGGACCTCATCTGAACGTCACTGAACAGAGGAAGCACCCACCAGTGATTATTGACACGAATCGGCTCTTGGTAAAGAAAGTGGTAAGGCAAATCTTGCCACCTCTCCCAAGGCAGCCCCAAAGCACAAACCACCGGCCTCCTGAGAAAATAGGCAGGAATGGCTTCTTGCTAATTAGCATCACTCAGACTCAGTTCTCCTTTCCAAGGACCTCCTCATTAATTCAATTCAACACAACTCAAAATAAATAATGTAATAATTTGATTCCTTCATGAGATGACCCACCCCAACCATTGGAACAATAAGGCTCAAACTTGAGTGTGCAAATTCCTCAGACTCAGTGCTCCCAGGCCGCATTCATAGATGGGAAGAGGAGAGATGGCTCCAGATGATTCTGAAGGAAATGAGCCTGCCCATTCCTGGAGAAACACTCCAGTAGGAGCCTAAGGACTCAACGATTTTCCGTTGCCTTTCATTTCCTTCCCTTACATATATTCCAGGAGGAAGCTGTCAAAACTCACATTTCCATTAAGAGTCTGGCAAATCCAGGGTACTTGTCTCAGCAGAGCCTCGTTCCCCGCTCCAGGACTGAAGCTGGGGTACACATAGTGTCTCCAGAAGTAAATTATTCTAATTAAATTCAATAGAACAAACCTTAATGAGTGACCTCTGAATTGGTTAGAGATTGCATTCTGCTACTAGTGGCAGAATCTCCGTGACAGTGGCTTAAACAAATCTGTTATTTCTTCTATTACATGAAAAAATTAGCAAGTAGTTGGTCAAGGCTGGTAAGGGGTTCAATAATTCATCAGAGATCAAGGCTTCTTCCATTTTTTGCTCAGGGTAATAAAATGGCTGCTGGAATTCAGCTATCATGCCTGTACTGCAGGCAGGAAAAGGGGGGGCAAGGAAGCGGGGAGCCCTGCTCCCAGCTGAGTCATTTCCCTATTGAAAGTTTTCCTGGAAGTCTCAACCAGTGTTCCCCCTTACATATCACCGGCCGCCCCTGGATGCAAGGGAAGCTGGGGAGCTAGCCTGGGAGCCCGGCACGCTGTGGGCCCAGGGAACGTCAGGATTCTGTAACTAAAGAAGAGGGAAGGACGGAAGTTGAGTAAGGTGACAGGAAGTCTCTCCCACAACCTACTAAGTATCGGGTGGGGTGAGGAGGGAGGAAACAGAGGTGTGTAACCCTTAGTCCCTTAGGGAGGACACACAGCACACAAACAAGTGTAACTCAGAGGACAGCTGCCGTGTGTGGAACAAGCGTTGCAAGGCTTTTGGAAGGAGAGGGCACTGGAGCTGCTTCTTGACGTACAGGTAGAATGACAACCCACAGAGACGGATTGTAGAGAAAGCCACTCTGGGCAGACAACATATGTTTGGGGAACAATTGTTTTAGCGACCACCAAGTTGAGAGGTTCCTAGCCTGGGATCCACACACAGACCCACAGCGTGGGCTACAGGGAGAGCCTGAAATTCTGTGCAAAACCTTTGATGTATGGGCATATTGTACTTTTCTCGTGAAAGATGTTCAGGGTGATCTGCATCTCATTCTTTCCAAGCTTTCCCAAAGAGCCCACCCCATCCTCCACTTCTGTCCCTTTACACACAACCTAGCCACCACCACTAATTCCTCACTCCCCAACCTCCACATTCTACCCTGACTTGACTCATGCTGTTCCTCCCTCTTGTAATTACTCCTCCCTACTTCTCCCCTTCCACCTAGATACGGAAAGATAGGTAGTGATTTCCCCATCACTGGAAGTATTCAAATATAGACTGCACAAACACTTAGAAGGGAAATTAGAAAAGAGATTTGTCTCGGTTGTGAGCAACAGAAGCCAAACATCAGATCCCATCCCAACCTGAGATCCTAGGATTCACTCAGGCATGAATGTCCTTTGGCTTTAGTATTCCTCCAGGAAGTCCTCCTTCCCCACACCAGCCCCCTGGTCTCTTATCTCCTTTTAATGCTAATACTTTCTGCAGGAATACACAACTTGACATTAGCTTTATGACCTGTTTTGTATTGTTTCCCATCTTTTCCTACGCATAGGTCTAATGTCACAAAAACAGATTATAACTAAGTTAAGGACAAGAACTGAGTCTTATTTTCTTGTGCCTTTACTATGCCTTGCCCGTAGGGTGACCAACCATCCCAGTATCCCTAAGACAGGAGTTTCCTGGGACATGGGACTTTCAGTGCCAAAAGTGGGGAGATGCTGAGCAAACCCAGATGAGTTAGTCACCCTACTTGCCCAAGAAATGGGCACATCATAGTACCTGCTTGTTGATTGCTGACTATGACAGACATTTCTGCTGTTCAGCAGTATTTCTGGTTCTCCTCTCCTTCTGAGCACACATTGCACTTCCGCATCCCCTTGAAGTTGGGCATGACTGTTTGACCTGCTTTGGCCAATAAAATGTGAGTGGCCTTAATGTGTATCACTTCTGAGTGGAAGCATTTAAGACCCCAGGCGCCATTCTCAGTACACTCTCTTCTCTTGCCCTGGCAAACCCTGAAGCAATGGTGTTGAGATAGCTGCCCCACAGGATGGTGTAGGATGTCTCTGGGAAGCAGATCCCCCTGCCTCCCCATGCTGGACATATAGTGTGAGCAAAATTTAGCTTCACTCACGGTCCGTCCCTGAGATTGTTATGTTTTCATTACTGCAGCAAAATCCAACCTAACCTGACTGGTACGTCAGCCACCAAAAGTCTCACTAGCAACTTATTCAAACTCAAGTTACTAAAGCAAGAAAACTCTTCAGAATTTTTTCTCAGGCAGGAACTTCAAATCACGTAACTAAAAACTCAGTTGTATGCAAGTGGGAAATCTGAGCACGGCCTCCCAGGAAGCTCAAAGAAGCTGGAGGCAAGAATTCCCGAGAACAGAGGCTCCGGGAACAGAATATGCCTTCCTGGCTCCTACCCACCAGCCCAAGTTATTGATTTCAATTGTTGACATTAAAGCTCGAGATCAGTCTTAGAAAGTCCAACTCTTTAATACTCAGATGGGAAACTGTCCAAAAGCGGAAACAGCTGGTTCAGGATCGCACAGGGCCTTACTGAGCATGATCTCCCCACACATTTTTGGCCATTTTTGCCCTTTACGTTGCTTTTCTACCTAGTTAATTCACAGTCGTTGTGCATTTCTTTGAGATTTCACATACTTACCCATGACTTGGTGGTAAAAAAACTAGTCTCTTGCATGGGTTTAAAAACATATTTTTTTAAAAAAAAAACTTTTTCTTATGACAATAGTAATTTTCTTATTATAATAGTAATAAGTGTATGCTTATTTTTTTAAATATAAGAAAATGAAGAATAGTTTTAAATATCCAAAATCTCACCCATCCAGCAGTAATCACTATTGATACCTTTTTTTAAATAAGAATGAATGTGTTACATTTTGTAAAATTTTAAAAATTCATCCTCACCAGTATTTTTACTGGTTACAGGAGATTGTATTTTTGTAGATGTATCACAATTTATTTAACCAAGTTCCTTTTCTTTGATATTTATGTTGTTTTGGTGTTTTGCTTGTTTTAAAATCATGAGCACTGTTTCGATAAACACTGTTAATTTAAGTGGACATTCTTTCCTCGTTACCTGTTTAGCACATCCTACAGCAGTGGTTCTCAAACTTTAGCATGGGCCAGAATCCCCTGGAGGACTTGGGAAATGTTAGATTCCCGAGCCCCATCCGCAGAGTTCAGGATCTGTAGGTCCAGGTGGGGTCTGAGAATTTGCACTTCCAACAGAGTTCTCCCATGGTGATGCTGACGCTACTGATTTGGGGACCACACTTTGTGAACCACTATCCTATATTATTCTTCCTTCCAAGAACCTCATCTAACCCGTGTCCTTAGTTTCCTTTCTCAGAACCTGCAGCTACTGGTCTCACACTCTGTGGTCTCATTTCCTTCCCCATTCATGCCTGTGAGTGCCTTTCATCGACATACCTTTCCAAGTGTTTCTGGGCCTTGTATAATTTCTTAACAGACACACAGAGACGCACTCACACGGATTTTCAAAGTTAGGTGTCTTTTTCCTGCACTGCCAACCCCAGAAACCTCAGCTAGTAACAAAGCGAGGGTAAATAAAAGTTCCTTTTCCCAGACACTGATATTTTGTGTCCTTTATCCCCACTGCATCTGCCTGTCTGCCTCACAAGATTGTTGTGACAGGTAACGTCTCTCCAAGATGGACAGAGTAGAATATTACAGATGCTTGTGAGCTGGAAAGAGCTGTTGACCCAGAAGTGGGAAGGCATTGCCGTTAAACTTAGTGTTGTCATGTATTGGTCGGAAAGTGGGTTGCAGCTTAGGTTCTGAGTTAGAACTGGATCTTATCTGGGCTCTCTTGCTTACGAGCTACGTGAACTTAGGCAAATCACTTCGGATCTTTGAGCCTCAACTTACTCACCTGCAAAATACAGGAAATAATACCTTTGTTGCAAGGAAATGGCAAGAAATAAAAATAATGTATGCAAAGTAGCCAGGACAGGAATAGTTCTCACTAAACGGTAGCTGTTTTGTTTACTAAATTATTGCTTTAATTTTTTTTTTCCTGGCCTTTTCGCTGCTGAAGGCCCTGAAAAGCATCTTTTCTGCCCTGGCCGGAGGTTCCTCTCCTTTGCAAAGCTTCTGGTCACCTGCCTCGGGCGGCGGCGCCGAGCCCCGCGGGCTTCGCGGAGGCCCTGCTCTTCGGGTATTTACGGCGCGCGGCCGCCCGCTCGCTCCGGCTCTAGGCTGCGCTTCCAGGTTCAGTTTCAGGGGCTCGCCGGCAGCCCCGGCTGGCGCGCGCGCAGCGAGCGGCGGGCCGGGACGGCAGGGTCCTCTGGGGGCCCCGGAGTTGGGAGGCGGCGTCCGGGAGCCCCCGGAGGAGGATGGGCTGCGGACACAGCAGGCTGAGCTGCTGCAAACCCCCCAAAAAGGTAAAGGGCGCCGGCGGAGAAGTTTGCCTTCGGAGGGGATGGGGAGTGCCGAACCGCTCCACCATAGGGGACCCTCGGCGCCCTGGGCTTCCAGCAGTCGGCCCGGTGTGCCGGGCGGAGAACAGCGAGAGGCTGGTGGGGAGAGCTCGGCCGGGCAGCGCTCTTTCCCCTGGCCCCGGGCTGAGTGGCGCTGGGCAGCCGAGTTTACAAACACGGGCCCGGGAAGGGTAGCTAATTCCGGCTGCCAGTGGGGAAATGTCTAGTGCCTGTGGCAGGTGCCCTTTTCCTTCGGTCTGGGGCTGCTTGCTGTGTGGCCAGGGACAAGTGACTTGACCTCTCTGGCTTTCGCACCGTTCAGAGGCAGATAATCTCTAGGGCCGCTACTCGCAGAGTGGTCCAGGGATTTACAGCATCGGCATGGTCTGGGACCTGTTAGAAATGCAGAATCTCAGGCTCTGCTAAAATAGAACCTGCCTTTTAACGAGATGCCCGGGTGGTTACAAAACGTGTTAAAGTTTGAGAAGCGCCGGTCTAGAGCCTCTTCAGGCCCGAGAGCCGGTGCATGTGGGCTGTCCTGGGGGTAGGTGGGAGGGGCCGACGAGGGAGGAGATCTGCAGCCTTCTGCTGCTCTTCCCGCCCTTCCTGTCCCTCCCTCAAGGGGCCTGGAGCTGGGTTAGGGCCCAGGGGACTGCTCTCTGCTCAGGTTTCTTGCAGTGGGACCAGCTGCCCCTTGGGGTCTGACAAGCCCAGAAGGTCAGAGCCTGGAGCCAGAGGACAACCTCCTCAGGGGACAACCTGAGGCCCAGAGTGGGAAGGGAGGACCCTGGAGACTGTTTTTTCTACTTTTGCCTGCCCTCCAGTCAGGCCGGAATAGGTGGTACCATAAACTTGATGATCAGTCCCCTGGAGACCCTGAGAGACCCCAAACGGTGACAATATTTAGTAGTTTTTCACTGAACTTGAATCTCTCTCTGCTTCCGCTTTGCTTGTGCTGCCTGTGGGAATTCACTACTGTCCCCACCCTGGATGATTCTATTCCCCACCCTGTGCCTAGTCCAGCGGGATGAGTTTTGGTCCCAAGTACAATGTCTCCCCTGCTTTCCTTGTTTCTCCTTTATTCTCACTTCAGAAAACCTCACCAAGCCCTGACCCCTCATGTCTTCCTGGCTCCACAGGGAAACTGAGGCTGACTTCCATCAGCAGAATCAGAGGGTTGGCTGACAGGGAGGACGGGGCCATCAACCTGAGCCTGGCCTGTGACTTGGAATGGAGCTGTTGACAGGGGGACATCCATCCTGGGTTTAAGTGCTGGCTCTGCCGCAAACACGCTGTGTGACCCCCAGCAAGCCCTTACGACTCTCTGGGCCCCAGTTTCTCCCTCTGTGTGGAGAGGGAGGGAGATGAGCAGGACGATGTCTAAGGGTCCGAGAATCTGTGTTCTCTGACCTGAGTCAACCTCTCAGTCTGCAAAGTGGGCCAAGGGTGAGTTCCATCTGCGCAGAGGCAGGAGGAGACTGGAGGAGGAGCCCTGTTCCAGGCCTGACCCTTCCACAGGCTGGAAGAGGAGACCACAGTGAGCGTGGGTTCCCTTGCCTCCTGGCCCTTCGGAGAGCCTTAGAAGCTGTCCCCGTCTGTCCGTGGCACAGCATGAACTGGACCCCCTGTCCCAAGCTGTGAAGGGCAAGTAAAGTCGGCACAGACGATCCAACTGGGAAAGGGCTTGGGTACCACCTGGGCTGATGTGCCCAATGTACAGATGTACAGATGGGAGGTTAAGGCCTGGAGAAGGGAAAGGTCATGACTGATGTCACAGAGCAACTTAGAGCTGAAGCCGGGTATCCAGTCCCCTAATCTGGTGTTCTTTGTCTTCACCCCTGCTCTGTGCTTCCACCGGCTTCTTGTTGATTCCAAAGCTCTTTGGCATTAAAGCCTTTACCCTGTTGCCTCAGAGCAGCCTGGCATGTCTTCCCTGCCCCAGCACTGCCAGGCCCCTGCCCCTGCGTGGCAGGAGTTACAAGCTGGTTTTGTTTAAAGTTCATGCCTGTTTCCATCCCTCCAGGCTGGGCTCCTGGCCAATGTCTCATCCAGGTGCCAACCCCTGGAGGGCCTGAGCTACCGAGCCCATCCCCAACAGGCTGGGGGAGTGGGGGACTCGAAGGATGGGATGCACAAAAACGAGCTCAGACTGGAGAGGGTCAGGTCACGACAACAATGACTCACCCTGAGTGACGGTTAACAGGGTACTTTCACATCCTGCTGACCTCACAAGAGCCCTGGAAGCTAGGCTGAGCTGCTGAACCTTCCCCACTTTGCAGGTGAGGAGACTGAGGTTCATGGGGGAGTGACGTGTCCAAAGTCAGAGGGCCGGTTGGTGGTATGCACAGCTGAGCCTGGTTTTCTGCCCTCCCCATCCAGGGCTCACAGCCTCTGGCAGAGCACAGAGCAGGTGCCGTGTAAATATCGGAGGGAGTGAATGAGGGCCGAATGAAAGCCAGGCTGGGGGTTAGCCCAGGGTGCAACGGGAGAGCCTCCTCCAGCTTTAAACGACCGGGAAAGTCTTCGTGGATGGGGGGTGGGCATGCCTTGGTCAAGTGGGGAGGGTTTGGTGGGAGTTACCCAGTCGGGGCTGAGAGAACGGCCTGAGCAGAGGCTGAGCCAGAGAACGTGCAGTGTGAGGGGCTCATTGTGGAGAGTGGAGGCCGCAAGGAACGAGGCCGGAGCTTTCAGTGCGGACCACCCTACTGGGGACAGGGGCTTGACCACTGGGACTTCTCAAGTGCCCTCCAGGTTCAAGGACCTGAGGGTTTGCTGAATTCTGTGGTCTACAGTGCCTGGTGGCCTTAGCTGACCAGCTGTTCTAGACCCTACTGAGAGGCCCCACCTGGGCTAAGTTTTGGGACAAGTTGATATCCTGGTGAATGAATGAGTGGGGATCCCTAGCAGGCTGGGTGTGGGTACTGAGGAACCATCTGCATTGTGTGGTCCTTCCTAAACCCTTTCTGGCAGAGACCATGGCTGATGTGGCCACGCCCCATGGGAGGACTTGGGAGAAGGCTGGACAGAGAGTATAGGGGCCCAGAGACCAGCCTTCCAAAGACCAGTAGGAGTCACATGGGACTACGCAAGGGCCTTCAATCCCCGGCTGGTTACCTGCCCTCTCTGGGCAGTGGTGGGCAGGGCCACCCAGTGCCTCATGTTCATTGTGCACACGTGCCTGGTATGATGTCTGAAGTCCCCAGTCCCCAGGACTTCAGCTCTGACCACAGCGCCACAGCCCTGAGCAGGGCGTCAGAGAACCTGGCTCCGCACTGCTCCCAAAGCTGGGCCTCAGGCGGCAGGTTCCCTCTGGGTCAGTCTTTCAGCAGCCCTTCAGGAGCGCTTCCAGGTAGCTGGGCAGGTGAGAGAGAGGGAGAGATGCAGAAGTGAGTGCCATGGGAGAGCCTGGCATGGGCATAAATAGAACAAAACCATAGACACAATGGCAGGGGTTTAGCCCTGGGCTCACGTATTCACTTATTCACTCAGCACACAGGCTAGGTGCTGCTTCATTCTGGCTCCAGCACAGATCCATTAAGTGACTGTGGAAGGGACTTGGCTTCTTTGTGCCTCAGTTTCCTCATCTGTAAGATAGGCATGATTAACTCCTGGGTCATCAGGTTGTTCTAAAGATTAATTGAAAGAATGCGTGCAGTAGAGTCCCTGATACGCTGACCGGCAAGTGGTATGCCCGTGATCAGAGGGAATGTGAGCAATGTCATAAGGGAGACATGGTTATACTTTAGGACTTCATCGCCTGGATTGTACCCGAGGAAAGCTATGTGGGAAACGCAGGGACATTAATGTCCTTGGTAAGCTGTTGGGGTTAGAGCAATGAAGCCTGGAGCCAGGCCATTGCCTTCTAACCTCTGAAGTGTTGTCAAGGGCATGGGGAGCAGCCTTGTTCTCCCTTGTTCCAGAAGACAGAATTGTGGCCAGTGAGGGGAAGCTAAAACGAGCCAGGTTCTACTTCTCATGAGGAAGAATGGTAGTGAGTTCCCCATCTCTGGAGGAGTTCAAGCAGAGATCAGATGACATTTTGGCAAGAATAGAAAAGGGGATGCAAGCCTAGGACTAAGAAATATTTGGGATTCCACTTGAGAAATCTAATTATTCTGATCATTACAATGTTTGAGGCAAAATTTCAAAATTTGGAAAAATATGAAGAAATGTAAACATCGCTTTTAATCCCACCATTAAGAACCTCTGTGTACATTTCAGTGTTATTCTTTCTGCTATTTTTACTACATATATATTATACGTGAGTGTGAGCATTTTTACACAATTGGGACCATTTTAAATGGTTATAGTCTAGTTACTTAATATTTTGCTCAGGCCATTCTCCCATGCTAAGTAGTTCATGGAAACATGATTTTTTTAATGGCCCCCTACTGTTGGGTGGGTCCCATGGCTTATTTATCCAGACTGGGCACTGGTTGTTTACATTCCCCACCCCTGACCTCATCATTCACGAGCATCCTTGTGTCTTCAGCCTAAGCCGGGGAGAGTATGGCTTTGAGTTCCGAGGGGAGCGGAGGGGAAATCAGGACAAATCAGGGCAAAGCTGACCTTTTCTCTTGGTTTGCCGAGGGTGGGGCAGCAGGGAGCAGGAGAGGAAGCTGCCTTCCCAGGCACAGAGCCCTCTGCCCCAAGCATCCTGGGGACGTGGTGTGTATGTGGCCCCTGAGCTCGTGGCTTTTGCCCAACCCAGAAAATAATGCTTTCCCAGAATCATCCCAGCTAAAGTCAATACAGACTTCCATACCTATGTGCTCTGGCAACTTTGTGAGGGTGAGTCAGATTTCTTTTATAAAAGGACATTTGTGCCTTGTGACCTAAAATCCATTAGAAAAATCCCTATAATCCTTGCCTCGGAGACACAACCTTTGGGAACACATTTTCCAAACGTGTACAAGTTTTCAAGTCTGTCCTTTTCCTTTGTCACTGAATTCCCAGGCAGCTTGCATTGCTCTCCCAAAAGCCTGATTTGTCCCCAGCCACCTGAGGACTTCCATCTTTGCCTCAATCGGGGGTTGAGTTTGGGGCCCATACTTCACATCAGCACTTGTGGGGGTTTTGGTTGTAAAAAGGACAGAAAAGGTAAAACTTCAAATTAGTTGCCCAGAAGCAGGCTGCTATCTAAATGAAGATGGTGACGCTCCTGGTAGGCGGGACTGCCACCTGACGTCTTAGTGTTCATAGATGAGCTCGTAAACAAAAGTCTGAAATCTGCCTGGAAAGGGAGCTCTAAAGGGTCTCAGTATAACATTCATAGACATTTATGTTCAAAAAATAAACTTGGGAACAATAGGGACTCCCCGCCGTAAAAGGAAGAGTCTGACGGATGGCCCGAGTTCTGGTCTGGCATCTCGGGTGCGCTTGGGTTTCCATCCTCAGGGCCTGCACTTCATCCTCTCCGTGTCCTCCGCCCTCAGAGCACTGAGCCGTTCCAGATGACCCGGGGAGAGGGTGAGAAGGGGAGCAGGACCAGCACGGGAGGGGGCGGGGAAGGGGGACACTCCTGTGACCCCACTGTGGGCGGAGAGGAGAGAAAACCCATCCATCTTTAGTACAGATAGATCTGAGTCCATCCATTACCCGAAGACAAGCCATCCTGCGTCTCTCGCCAGGTGCATTTGAATCCCTAAAAATCGTTTATCTTGTGTCACTTTATTTTCAACCTGAAACTTCCAGAACATCTAGGCCAAATGCCTTACAATACCTAAAACACCCATCCCACATCCATGCTTTCCTCCAGGTACGTGATGCACAAATGACCTACTTCCGGTCCTTCTCCCCCAGCGGTGGAGTTCTTCCACTGCGTGTACCGTGAAGCTTGTGGACCTCCTCACCATTTCTCCACTGCCCCATGCAACCCACCTCCTGCCCTCTCCTTAAGGAAATAACCCTGACATCAGAAAAGTTGCTACTGTACTGGGTTAAAACGTGCCCACTGCCCAAACTCATGTACCCCCAGAATCTATGAATGCAGACCTTATTTGAAATAGGGTTTGCAGACGTAATCCAGTTAAGATGAGGTCATACTGGATTAGGGTGGGCCCTAATCCAATGACTAGGGTCCTTATAAGAATAGGGAAATTTGGACACCATACACAGGGAGAAGGATGAGCGATGGGACAGAAGCAGAGATTGGAAGGGTGCATCTACCGGCCACGGAACGCCAAAGACTGCTGGCAACACCAGAAGCTAGGAGAGAGGGACGAAACAGCTCCTCCCTCAGAAGCTCCAGAAGGAACCAAACTAGCTGCTAACTTGATTTTGGACTTCTAGCCTCCAGAACTGTGACAGAATAAATTTCTGTTTTAAGTCACCGGCTTTGTGGTGATTTGTTACAGCAGCCCTAGGAAACTTATGTATTGTAAGGTTAATTACTCCTCACCTTACCACCAGTCAGAATGGGCAGCCAGAACCCATCTCTCCCCTTTGGACCAGGGCTCCGCGGAAGGATGGGGAGCATTGCAGACAGGAGGTGCTTAGACGAGGTCTGAATGCTTACAGACACCAGATGCAGCATCTGCAGGGGAGAGAGCTCTGCCCTGGGGGTCAAGGATCGGTCCCACTCCTGCCTCTTCACCCACCTGCTGCCTGATCTCAAATAGGTGGCTCTCTTCCTGTGCCTTGGTTTCCCCATCTGTAAAATTACTGCCCTGGCTGCTTTTAGGTTCCAAGAGAGGTTATTTCTTCTTGTCGTTGTTGTTAATTTCTTTGTACCCAAGTAAAACTTGAATACAGTATTGTTTAAAAAATTCTAAGAATTCAGGTAAAACTAAAGCTACCCCTCCTTAACCACTGTTTTAGTTCTTTCTCTAGAGATGACAACTGCCATCACTTTGTGCTTTTCTGGGTACTTTTTTCTGTGTGTTTACGTACAGATAGAAATAGTTTGTTTTGCATGTTCCACCAAATGCCTTTCCATCTTTGTATGTAAAGATCTACTTTGTTCTTTTAAACGTATGAGTGTTGTATAGTATTATGCACCTCGGTGTATCGAGTCAGTCCCCCGTCGTGGACATGAGGCAAGTGTCCAGTGTTTCTCTGCTAGGAATGATCCCGCCCTGAGCATCCTGTAGGTGCCCGTTGTCCCACTCACGGGTGCTTCTCTCTGCTCGCAGTACAATTGCAGGGGGTGGAGCATGCTGCATGTAACCTGGGAGCTGGTGGCCGAGCTCTCTGTCATCCCCTGCTTCCAGGCAATCCTGCCCCCCCTTTTCTGTCTCCCTTGCAGGGCTGCTCCAGAACATAGGGTGGAGTGAAGGGCTCAGCACCCCCACCTAGACCCTCCCGACCAAGGGCCCCTCCTCTTGCGTCCTCCAGAGAAGCCCTCTTCATGCAGGGGCTGACAGCTGAGTGTGTCAAACCACCTGTCCTGCTCTGCCTAGAGCAAACGAGCATGACAGGATTGATGGAGGATGGGCTATCAAGATGACCTCACGCTGCCTCTTCTTCCACATGCACAGCATGTCAAAACCAGAAGTGCTCTGACGTATCCCATTGCCCAACTCCATGCTATAGAGAAGAAGAAACAGACGTCTAGAGAGGGGAAGGTGCACCCCCAACGTCACACAGCAAGCAAGTAGCAAGCCAGGGTCTCGACGCTGGACTCCTATTGGAGAGTTTGCCTTTGGGTTGGGGGAACAGGTAGATATCTGGCAGTGTGTCTGTGCCCTCAGCCTGTCTCTTCCCCAACCCCGGCCACTGACACCATTTTCTGTCCTGCTCCTTCAAGGTCCTTCTGCCTGCTGGGCTGACCCAGATGCCAGAAATGGTGCCTATTGCTTCTGCCAGCTCCAGGCCCTCTAAAGCGATCAGAACTGGCAGACACCCCAGGAGGCTGATAAGGGACAGGAGAAGGTGGGCTCCAGGGAGGAAGAAAAGGAATCTGGTCTATTGGAAAGCCTTTCTGTAGGCCTCAGCCTCTCCATCTGTGAATGAGGGGCGGGGCCCTGCCCTTGAGGCCTTCTCCACCGGCTGCCTGGTCTGGCCCGGCAGGTGCTTCAGCAGGAAGTGGTTCTATCCTCCCGAGATCTCTCATCAGTCGGTCAGATAGGAGCAATGGAGACCACATCCGCCCCGACGTGGGGTGCTCTGGGGGCACTGCAGGTGTTCGGGGAATAGGCGGTGCCCGGGCACAGCAGAGGGGGCTGGCTGGTGCTGCTGCCTTTAAGGCGGTTGTATAGTCACATGGCTCTACCCGCAGGCAGGCAGTGGGCGAAGTTGACGCCACACTGCGTCATATGAACCAGTTGAACTAAATCTTTAGCTCCCCTGGCAGTGTGAAAATGAAATCAAATTCAGGCATTACTTTGGCAAAATGCATCCACCCATCTTAGAGATGGAATGTGAGGCCTGTGTTTGTGGTGTTCTTCCGTCTGAGCCGCTGTAATTTGGGTGTGAATGCTAACATTTCTCAGCAGCCCTGGACATTTAGGCCCTGGAGGGGGCCCCTGGGGCCTCTGCCCCCACCCCCTTCCTGCCTCTACCCTCAGCCAATGGGCTCTGCTGTGGTTGTTCCGATTCCGAAACTAATGGGGCTGGGGCCCCACCCAGGCTGAGTCCAGACACCGGAAAGGCAGCTCTGATACTGTGAGGGTGTGACCTGAGGCCTGGGCTCCGCCTGCGATCTGGATCCTCCGTGAGCTCTGCTCCCCGGCTTTGTGGTCTCTGATGAGTTACTCATGCTACCGCAGGGCCTAGGTGTTCCATGTGGAAATAGGAGGCGGGGATTGGAATAAACTGTCTCCGGGGGCCCTTCCAGCCCTGTCTTCTGGGTTCCTTCCTCTGCCAAGATGGGTGTGATAACACTATGTGGCCAAGGGAAGCCCGGGCCTCAGCTTATGGGGACAGGGGAATTGCTGAACTCTTAAGGGTCCTTCGATTACTAAATTCTCTAAGCTCAGCAGGAATAATGAGGACCTAAGTCATAACACTCAATCAGAAATACTCAAAGCCTTGAAGGCCCACAAAAAGGATGGAGTGATGCTTCTTACAGCGAGGTTAGACCAAGTGTCTTCAGGAAACCTTGAGCCATCCTCGGGGTTCCTCTTAGCCAGTAGGATTCCCAAGGTAAGGAATAGCTGGGCAGCCTCTCTCCAAGTTGCTTCTGCCCTACTCACGCTTGCCTGATGGGGCTCAGAATTTGAAGGGAGTTGAGGAGTCTGCTCCAAAATCTTTGGGAGGACAGAAACCCACCCCAAAGTACTGCAACCTGAGTAATACTCAGCAGCGCCCTCTGAGACTCCGTTAATGCTGGTAGATTTTACGGACCGCCTGCAATGGTTGAACACTTTATGCTTCCTGGAGGTCTCTAGTTGCTGAACAACAGGGATATTTTACAGGATTAGACCATGAAGTTGAGGGTCCTCTAAGATCACTTAGATCAACCTGCAAAATGAAGTTTACCTCTTCTTGTATGCTACCAGTGACGGAGAGCTCACTACCACCACCGCACCCCTCCCTCAGATAAAGCAGCTTACCTCTGGTTGGGATAGTTCTGAAATTCTTCTTCCTGTTGAACTGAGACTTCTCCTTGAAACTTCTAGTCCTGGGCCACAGCCCCGCCTTCCAAGGCTGTGGACCACACATTAGCAGCTTCTACCTCGTGACGGTCCTGTGGAGGTTTGAAGACAGTGGGAGGTTTTCTTGCCTGTTCTTGAGGCTGACCAACTATTGTTCTGTTAACAGTCCCTCCTGTAACTTGGTTTTGAGTCTCCTTCCACATCCTGCCAGTTCCTTTTGGACACCTTCCCATTTGTCAGTTTACCCTCCAAAATGCGAGCATATTCGAGGGGGTCTCACCAGGTCCCGTCTGAGTTTGTCTGCTTCTCCACAGCTCTGGACAGTCCTCCCGCTCTACCCTGATTCTGTGTGCTTTTGGCAGCCATATCCCACTGCAGACCAGCTGTGCTTCAGGTTGAACCCGGGGCAGGACTCCAGTCTGCTTGATGACAAGAAGCTGGGCCCAGAACTGTGCATGTCACCAAGACATAGGGGCCCTGTTTCCAGCTTTCTTAGTTGAAAGGCTGCCCTGGCCTTCAGGACTGAGGAGAATTTCTGTTCCAACCCTGACCCATCACAGATAGAGAAACTGAGGTCCAGGGAGGGGAAGGAAGTTCCCTAAAGTCACACAGTAAAGCTGGAACCCAGGTCTCCTGGCGTGTCCCCCAGTCCTGGGTTCCCCTACATCTGGTGCTGCCAGCTGCCACCTCCGTAGCTTTCTTCTCCCAAGTCTCCGTTGACTCAGGAAGCTGCCACCCCTCTTCCAGAGCTCAGTCCGGATACCCCGCCCGGCCCTAGGCCTCCCGACTCTGCTCTTGGAAGGGGAAATTCTTGCGTTCCCCCGACACCCCCCAAGCTCCTGTCCTCTCCCACTGCAGGGTGAACTCTGCGCCGTGACCCCCAAGGAGGAAGTGGCCAGGCTCCAACCTGGGGATTTTCCTTGCAGTCATTGCTTATCAATTCCTCCTCAGCTCTGGGCTGTGTCTTCAGGCTTTTGCAAGCATCAGAATCACCTGGATAGACTGGTAGACTGGCGCTTCCCAGCACACACACCACCCTCGAACTGGGTCTGGGGAGCTGTGTTAGGCATGCACTCCAGGTGGTTCTATAGCGGGCCTAGAAATTCCTGGAAATACTGTTCTGGGCATCCTAACAGATACTGGGGCAAATCCAAAGTGGATTTCAAAAACGGTCCCTGTCCTCAAGGAGCCCCTTGGACTAGCAGGAGAAACACAGGTCACCAGATAGGAACTCGCAGAGTGTCTGAACAGGCCCTGGAGGGTAGAACCAATAGGAGCTAACTCAGCCCTGGGGAGAAACCGAGGAGAAATGATAAATGAGCTGGGCCCGGAGGCCTGAGAAATTATCGACCATATGTCATGCTGGGATGGTCTTGAGCAGCTTGGGGTGGTCTTGAACACACGGATAGCATGTTAGGGCTAAGAGCACGATAGGTTGTTTTGACCTGGCAAATTTGCCAACATTTTTTTAAAAGTGATACTATTCCATGTTGGCAAGTTTGCGGTAAAACTGGCTTTCTTGTGTGCTATTAGTGAATTAAGTTATCGAATCTTTCTGGAGGGTAGAGGTGGAATTTCAGATGTCTAAAAAAATCTTATAAATCAGTATGTTCACTAAAGCATAATTTGGAAATTAAAAAGTGGAAAGGACCTAAATCCTCCACAGCAGATTCATGATTCAATTCATGCAGAAGGATGTAATATTTCAGTCATTAAAATTGATATATTTACAGAATATTTAATGCCATGGAGTAAATGCTCATAGTATATTTGAAGAAGTCAGATATAAGAAAGTA